CTGTGGACTTTCTCTTCACTTGGCTGTAGGTCTGACTCTTTGCTATCTGTGCTCTCAGGCAAACCATTTGTTGTCAAGGAGGCTGACAAAGAAAGCTTTGGTCGATTAAGTGGCCTGGGTGTTCCAGGCCCATTTATATTAGACCTATAATGAGATAAACCAATATCATTTTCTACTTTTAGGAAAAATTATATACTTATCACCCCTTTAAAGTACATATCACAAGTATTTGCACTAATTCTGGCTTTCAGATTCATGCCCTAATTAGCAAATGTAGCCCGGTATAACCTACAACATAGATCTTGTATCTTCCCCATAAAATGTCCCATTAAAAAAAAGTTAGCTTGCTAACTCAAACACCCTAGATGGTTAAAAAAAACAAAAACAAAAACCCACATACACACAATATTCTTACCTGTCAGTATAGTTTGGTGAGTTTCCAGGAAACATAACACCATTCATTCGGTTTAAACTATTAGAACTGTTCTTCCTGTAATAAAAGAAAACACTTCAGCTGGGCATGGTAGCACATGACTTTAATCCCAACACTGGGAGGCAGAGGTAAGTAAAGCTCTGAGCTCAAGGTCAGCGTGGACTACATAACAAGTTCCAGGTCAGCTAGGGCCACAGAGTAAGATCCTGTCTCAAAATAAAAAAATAAAATAATGCAATAAAGGAAGACACAAAGGAAGGGAGGGGTTATGAATGGCTCACTTCTTTAATTTTGATAATAACTGGGTGTAAGACTGGAGAAACAGTTCAACAGGCAAGAGTACAAGCTGCTTGCTCTTCCAGATGACTTGTGTTCTGTTCCCAGAATCCTCACAGTGGCTCATAATCACCTATAACTCCAATTCCAGAAGAACTAATGCCTGCTTCTGAACTACATGGCATGCACAAGGTATACATACATTCAGGCAAAAATACTCAACACATAGGAAGAAAATAAACACGTTAAAAAGAAGAATCTGGGTCTTTAAAAAAAAAAAACAAAAACAAAAAGCTGGGGCTATCAAATTCAAACACAGATAATGGGAATACACACACACACACACACACACACACACACACACACACACACACACACACACACACACAAGTATGGGGGGTAAAAAAACTATTAGTCAATGACACTTGCTTTTGAATCTCCTGGAATGTTCTCCAGGTAACTTCATATTCATCAGAAAAGCAAAACATTTAATTCAAAAGGAAATCAACTTGGCATACTTTTATTTTTTGTTTTTCTACCAAGAAGCATCAAGGGATTATCTCAGTATCTTACTTAGCAAGACAAAGTCATGAACTCTAAAAACAAAATTGTCTAAGAAATAAATGGCACTTAAGATTAAGCCAATGGATCTTAGGCCTCTTGTCCCCGACCTTCACACACTCCAGGGCACTTAAGTCTCTCTGTGAGTGTGTGTGTAATTTCCAGGACATCCACCCACAACAAAGAATTATGCAGGTGGCCTAATTGCTAATGGTGCCATGGCTGAACACATGCCTGGAACCAAGTCCTTAATTTGGCATAGGAATCCTGACAACTAACGATACCTGTCCATCATGGAGAATACCATGAAGTATCTTATTCCAAACTTGGCAGCCACCTCTAGAAAATCATCTAGGTGGCCAGAAGTGTAGTAAGTGTAGTAAGTAGAAGTGTAGTAAGTCTCTTTAGTACAAATCTCTCTACTAGAAACACTTGAGCAGTATTTTGGCAACATTCCACCTCAGGGACCAGGTGGTAGATTTCACATGTACTGAAGTATATTTAGTTACATATAAAATAAATGCACACTACTTTAAGAACATTTTAAAATAATTAGAAAAATCTCTATACTTACTCTGAAGAAGGACACACACAGCTAACAACCATCACATTCTGAAATAACAAAAGTAGTGACTCCATGAGTGAAAGCAAAGCACAGTAACACAACAGTTGAACAACTTGTCTGAAACTCTCAAATTAAGCCTCCATCTAGTCTAACTGAAAGCAACTGGTTACAAACAAAAACAACAACAAAAACCAGGAAACTATGAGCAGCAAGAAGGACTTCAAGGGGCTGGAGAGATGGCTCAGAGGTTAAGAGCACCGGCTGCTCTCCCAGAGGCCCTGAGTTCAATTCCCAGCAACCACATGGTGGCTCACAACCATCTAGGATGAGATCTGGTGCCCTCTTCTGGCATGAAGGCATACATGCCGGAACACTGCATACATATAAATAAATTTTTTAAAAAATTCTAAAAAAAAAAAAAAAAGGACTTCAAGAGGTCTCACTGCACACTCACGGCTTGCTTTACCATTTACCTTGTATGCCCTTATGTCTCTGAGTTCAAGGCGGCAGAACCCTCCACCACACAGGTCTCAGGATCAGGCCTGGGAGACAGGTACTCTGATGGGCTGAGCCACCTCACAGGGCCTGATCCCTACTTCCACTCCCACCTCTTTTAAAGGCTTAGCTGGCCTGGAATTCACTATGTAGACCAGGCTGGCCAAGACCTCAAGAGATGGTCTTGCCTCTGACTCCCAGATGCTGGATTAAAGGCTTGTACTACCACACAAGGCTGAAGTATTTCTTTTCTTATAATTTCAATCAGATAAATGGCATGACTCCTGGAAACTCACCAAGCTATACTATGAGAATATTGGTTCATTTTTTTAATTTCTTCTTACTAGGTTTTTTTTTTTAAAGCATACTTTGGAACTCACATTGGAACTCAGACAATGTGCAGTGTATGTAAAAGTACAGGCCATTTTATTTTCCATATTCCTGTGCATGCACAAGTACATGCATGCACTTACACATGGAGGCCCCAACGGTCTTCCATCTCATTCAACAAGACAGGATCTCTCAATTAAACCTAGAGCTCGATAGTCAGCTTGCTCTGTGGATCCCTGTCTCTACCTGTCAAAGCTGGGATTCATTACAAGCAGGCCAGCACATCCACCAGCACTTATGTTGGATCTAGGGATCCAAACTCTGGTCCTCACACTGGTGTGGCACCCCCCACAAATGTGATGCCTGTGGGAGCCAAATCCCCAGTCTCTCTTCTAAAACTATCTTGAAATTTAAGTATTTAGTACAAGAGTGATGAATTTCCTTATCTATAAAGCAATACTCAAACGCCCTCCTTTGGAAATTATCCCAGCAGAATATTTTAAGGTCCCCTCACAGCTCTATCACCTAGATTCAAAATCCCTGGCTCACACACTGTAAAACACGGCAGCATGGAGGTGGCAAAGGCACCAGTGATATCCTATCTGTTCATCAAAAGCATCCCAGACACAATTACTAAAGGTCCCCAAGTTGAAGTACCGATGAACTCTGCAGCATATTCTGCTCTTTAGAATCTCATTCAATAGGCAACAGAAAGGATTAACAAAATGTATGAGTCTGATAACCCAAGAACTACCGGAAATCCCAAAGTTAATGGGCTGAGATTCCTGTTCCCAGAGTAAAAGAAGTGATTTTTTTGAAACAAAAAATTCTAATGTCAACTATGTTTTAGGATCAACTACCACATGAGAATTAGTCATCTGTCCAAATTCAGTTGATCCAATTACTCCTTCCAGTGATTTAATGTTTTGATCATTCAAACACTTTGACATCTTTGTGTTATTTCCATCATCATCATCATCATCATCATCGTCATCGTCGTCGTCGTCGTAGCAGTACCCTGCCACCCATAATGTGAACTAGATCTTTCTACTCAATATATCACTAAAATGCTTTTACACACAAGTTTCTAAGGTTGTGTGCCTCTGAATTCCAGAATTCAAAATTCCACAATGACATTTATAACGTACTGCTAACATTTATGTCTTTCTGGTAGGCTTTTTTGTTTGTTTGTTTGTTTGTTTGTTTTAATGCTTAACAAAGCAAATGTTTGTAAAATATAAAACAAAACAAGCCAGGTAGTGGTGAATCACACCTTTAATTCCAACACTTGGGAGGCAGGGGCACATCTCTAGGTTTGAAGCCAGCCTGGACTACAGAGTGAGTTCCAGGCCAGCCAGGGCTACATACAGAGAAACCCTGTCTCAAAAAAGAACCCGCCCCCCCCCACCCCTACCCCCGCCAAAAAAAAAAAACCACAATAAATTAAATAAAACTGAATAAGCAGCTTTCCTCAAACTTAAAATAATGGTTGCCTAGGACCTCTTGGGTCTTCTTTCTGCCTCTGCTTATGAGTTTCTCTCAGAAACATAGAATGCAATTGAGAAAGCAAAATAACTCAGTAGACAGTCGACGAAACAACTCATGTCATTGTCTTTTCTGGAACCTACTAGGTGTCACTTTACTTTGTGTGGTAGAATACATACCTTTTCTACTCCTCGGAGAAACTTGTCTGTTCCTGTATAATTTCTTCTTGGATCTGTTAGCAATTCACATAGTCGCTGAATAGTAAAAGGGATACTGCAAAGGAATAATTGTATAGTTTGAGTCCTCAGTGTAAGAAACTAGGAGCGGTGCTCCACAGTGAGCTTTATGGAGTCCTGTGCTGTGTCAAGCCAAAAAAAGGAATGTAGGAGCCACTGAGCAATATAAAAGAACACTGAGAACCATGTCAAAACCCATGCTGGAGAAAATGTAGTGCAGTGTTCTACATGCTGAGTGCTCAATTTCAACTTTACCAGAGAGGTAACACAAATAATAATTGTCAGTTTATTTACAAACAATGTTTTCTCAAGCATTCTTTTGCACCCAAACATTTTACTGAACATCATAAACGACTTTGTTACTGGATAGAGAATAATCACAGCAAATAAAAAAGACAATAATCATTTTACAAAGAGTTTTGAGAAAACCAGAAAGATGGCTCAGCAGTTTAGAGTACTGGTTCCTCTCCAGAGGAGGACTCAGGTTTGATTCCTAGGACCCACATAACATAGCAGCTCACAATTTCTGTAACTCTAAACGCAGGGGAATCTGACATCATCCCAGGAACCAGGCACACAGGGGGTACATAAAGACATAAATGTAAGCAAAACAATCATTCTTATAAAGTAAATAAATTTTAAAAAAGGATTTGACTCAAAAAATTATTAGCAACCATCAGAATTACAGCTAATTGTCATGTTGTAAGTACTAGATGTGACAAACACTGAGAAAATGTACATCTTTGGATTTCAGTGTTTTCCATTAACATCTACTTGTGTGGTTTATGAAGAGAACTGCAAAGCCTCAGATTCACATACAATATTCACAAGGTCTTCATTTTCACACAATAGTCTACCCTACAGCAATGCAGCTAGTGTGTACCATTTTTGCTGTACCACACACATTTGACAGAAATCACAGGTTTCTCACTGGATAAACTACACTTATAAGTCACCCCCCCCCTTTTTTTTAAAGAGGCAAGGTCTTACTTCTGTAGACCAGGCTGACCTAGAACTCAGGTATCTGCCTGCTTCTGTCTGTCTAGTTCTAGAATTAAAGGCATGTGATACCACACTCGGTAAATCTCACATTCTTAGCACAAGCACTATTTTTGCATTCTTATGTCAGTGTAAGATTTAGGAAATATTCATAATAAAACAAATGTTTTCTGATTTAAATCCAAAGCTCTATCTAAAAGTGAAGAGTATTCTGCCAAAGAATGTAAAATAGAAAGGTGCAGCATTTACCTGACATATCCAGAAACAAAACCCACAAAACAATAAAAAAGTACAGCAAAGACACAACCTAAATAAAAAGCTAAGCAGACATCCTATTTGAAAACACCAAAATAATACTAATAGACATGTAGATCAATGGGGCAAAAGACCCAAATGTGTTCATACTATTACAGTCATCCCCTAATTGACAAAGATGCCCAAAAATACACAATAAAGAGAAAGACAGCATCTTCAATAAATGACCCTGGGAAACTGGATGCCCACATGTAAAAGAATGAAATTAGACCCATTATCTATTACCCTGCTCATAATCAGTTCCAAATGGACAATGACCTCAATGTGAAGCCTGAAATGCTGAAAGCACTAGAAGAAAACATAAGTAGTTGTCTACAAGATATAGGTGTAGCTAAGGACTTTCACTCAGAATTCAGGCCAATAATTGATAAATGGGACCAAACTAAAAAGTCTCTATACAGCAAAAGAAACAATACAGTGAAGAGGAAGCCCAGATAGTGGGAGGGAATTTTTTTGTCAGCTATACATCTGATGGAGAATTAATATCCAGAACATATGAAAAGAAAACCCAACACAATAAAAACTTCAAGAATCAAGAAAACAACCCAATTTAAAACTGGGCCACTATCTGAATAGAGTTCACAAAAGAAATAAAAATATTTGTTAAATGTGTTCAATATCCTTAGCAAGAAGGGAAATGCAAATTAAAACAACTCTGAGTTTTCATCTCGCCCCAGTCAGAATGGCTATGGTCAAGAAAACAACTAACAAATGCTGGCAGGTGTGGGGAATGGGGAACCCTTACTCACTCAATGTTGGTGGGACTGCTAACTGGTGTAGCCTCTATGGAAATCAATGTGGAGAAATCTCAAAAAAGCTAAAAGTAGATCTTTGTATGATTCAGCTACACCACTCTCCTTGGCTATGTCCAGAGGACTCAACATCAACATCCTACTCCACCGATACTACATGTTGAAGCTCTGCCAACAACAGTGAGGAAATGGAAACCAACTGATGTCCCTCCACTGATTAATGGAATAACAAGGATGTGCTAAGTATACACAATGGCTGGGCATGGTGGCGCACGCCTTTAATCCCAGCACTTGGGAGGCAGAGGCAGGCGGATCTCTATGAGTTCAAGGCCAGCCTGGTCTACAAAGTGAGTTCCGGAACAGCCAGGGCTGTTATACAGAGAAACCCTGTCTTGAAAAACCTTAAAAACAAACAAACAAAAACACCAACCACTACACACAATGGAATTCTCTTGGGCTGTAAAGAAAAAAGTGAAATCATGAAAAAAGTGAAATCATGACCTTTGAAGATAAATAGAACTAGAAAATACAACAATACTGAATGAGTTAATGTAATTCAGACAGAGAAAGGCAAATTTCACGTTATCTCTTACTTATGGACGTGAGTGTATAAACTGGAATAACCACAGAAACCCAGAGAGTAGAAGGGGACCACGGAGTGTGGTGAAGAGGAGCTCTAAAGGGGCACAGGAGGACACAGGTGCTGTGAAGAAGGAAATGGGAAGAGTGGAAGTGGGTGGGACAACATGACTAACGGGGAGGAGAGGAAAGGCTATACAGAAGGAGAGTTAACACTAAGAATGCTCGAAAGAGACAAAATCATTGTTGACTTACAATTACATGTAATCATATAAATATATCTGTATACATACACACAGTTTAAATGCAGTAACAGAGTGATAATGTTCTCCAAGCACAAAAAACCCTCATTTGAGTTGTTCAGGCATCAATATAAGCTATTGCCCTTGGAAGGTAAGGCACTTTATTGCTGAAGCTATCACACATACTCCAGACACAGGACTTGGAAGAATAGGACAGAACTGACCTGGAAGCCGCCTTCTTCCTGAGGACTAGCAGTATCCAAAAGTGCTATGCAAACTGCCAAGGGAGGGCAGCAGTCAGTGGTCCTACCTAGCTGTAAATCCTGCAAACCACAATGACTGGCCCAGCAAGTAATCTCCAATGGCTGAATAATGGCACTTTTACCTTGGGACTAACCAACAGCTGTGTAACTGGAGTGAAGGCTGGCTAAATAGGAAGGAATTCATGCTTGTTACTATAAACCTAGTCAATTACTCATAGCTGATCCAAAGTTATGGACCCTTGATGAGAACCTTCTATTGCCATGTTCCTAAACCAGCATAATTTCTAAATGCACTCTAAGTATTTATCTTTATATTCACAAGTAAATGTAGCTCACCCCTCATCAAAGAAGTTTCTTTTTTACAGCAGATGGAAACTATTACAGAAACCCACAAATATTCAAATCACAAAAATCCACAACTGACACATCTTCAGTACAACCCTTATACCTAAGGCTCAAGAACATTGCAAAGAGGGGGTGGAAAGATTTCATGAGCCAGAGAACCAAGATGCCTGCTGCTGAACAGTGTCTTCTAGACACAACAGGGAAGCTGCACCATTAAGTCCTAACAATACTGCTGTTCAAACAAGACCTGCATAATGACAACATCATTTATATGCCTACATGGGTGGGGAAATCACACAAGATCCTTCTCCCAGATGAAGAGCTATGGGTGAACAGGACATAGAGAGAAGGTCCCAGGGTTAAGAGCACTTATTGCTCTTGCAGAGGACCTGGGTTCTGGCCTTAAGGTAACTACTGTATGCATATGGTAAGCACACATACATAACACTATTTTATGTTACAGCAATAAATGGATGCAGAAAGAGAAAAATCAATCTCCTCCAGAGATAAGGCCCCTGATAAATTATACAATCTCAAGTGATTAGCCCTAAACACATATACAGAGAAACACTCAACTCAGTATGCTGTATATACTTATAAACACACGTAATTAAAAAGGTCATAAATTTGAGAGTGGGGCCACAGAATGAGGGGTGGAAATTATGTACTTGCAGTACTTTTTATATATTCTTACAAAAAAAAAAAAAGATCCAAAGAGCCATTCACTTTTATGTGTAGCATGCAGTTTTAGAATGTCTTTCTTTTTCACTCAGTCTGACAAACTATTTAATGAAACCTAACTTAAATATCTATCATCAAAAACTGAAGAAAAGCTAGATGTGGTGGGTCACAACTTTAAAATCAGCTCTTGGGAGAAAGGTAGGTGGATCTGTGAGTTCCAGAGCAGCCAGAGAAACACAGTGAGACAACAGTAAGACGCTAGTGCATCCTTGCAAGGTACCAGAACCTTGACTGAGGGTAGTGAGAGAATGAAGTTAACACAGACACATCAACACAGAAAGCTAGGGTGGGATGTCTAGGCTAAAGAAGCTATAGCACCCAGAAAGCTTAGTATGTTTATTATTTACAGCTAACCTCAGGAGGAAGTCTCTGTAGGAGAGCCCATCTTCAGGACATAAACATCCAAGGGAGAAAGCTAAAGTGCACATTTTCTGCAGTCAACACTCCCCAGAGGAAGGCTCTGTCATTCCTATGGGTCATTATGTCAAACATACTCACAATTTTACTTGCTCCCTACATGATGCTGTCTCAAATAAAAGATGAATAGGCTCCTACTGAATTATCTCACACAATTCAGAAACGGAAGTCTAATAACATTAAATTTACTTGAAGCACTATGTTATTTCTATACCAAGGCTTAGCAGTAAATAAACAATGAGCCTCTTTCAATATTGGCAAAGAGCCAAGGTTGTGAGTACATTAATGTTTGTCTCAGTCCACATCCCTAAATCAACCAACAGTATGTCAAAGCCTTTAACCAAGTTAATCATCTGAGTGCCCATAGTAATCTAAATTGTGATT